TCTTTGGCAAGGATTCTCTGCATAATCTTGGTTGAGTTATTTATCCACTTGCTATTCCTATTGTACAGGTACAGAAACAGCAATATTTACTGGAAGTGTTGCAGGATTAATTAGCTCTTATAAAGAGTTTTGAAGGTTCTAAGTGATAGCATTTGGAAGTCGGAGTCAAGATCATGATAAAGGTGAATTCATGCTCTAGTCTAGGGTGTTTATGGAGAATGTTTAATGTGCTGTAGTCACTCAGTAATCCCTTGTATGACTGCTTAATTCAGGACAGGTCTTGGGGAGAACCTGGGTGGCAACTCTAGATTTACCACCAGTCAAACAGGGAGCTAGAGAGCATCCCAGGCTGGGTCTGTCGGTGTCCAGCAGTCTAAATAAAGAATCCCCTTTATATTCTTTACAACCTAGTCCTGCCTCTCTCTCACCCGTCACAGCCCCCCAAAAGATACAGCAGTTGTTCTCAGGCTGTGACCCAAGCAGAGAGCAGACTGGTCACATGATGCTGGCTCTTTTTTGCCTCCAGCTGGTCAGTCACATTAAAAGCAGCTATGAATACTTCCCCCAGATTAATTTTCCATGTAAGAAATTGTTCTAGTTCTGACAATAAGGTCATCTCTGTTGTGCAGATCTATGAGGCAGTTTATCTACTGATTTGTAAGTATGGTTGCTGTATAACATTGCAGCAACACTTGGGATGTGAGGGTGACGTTTCACATCTCTTTGAAGCATCATGTCACGGCCACTGTAAAAGGCAAGATGCTAGCGTAATGCCGGCAGAGCCCAGTTAGCCGCAGGTGGAATGGAACCTGCAACCTCTGGAGCTTAGTACAAGAGCTAAAAGTCGCCTGGCTCTTAGCTAAGGCTGTAGAGTAGACCTGTTATTCTCTCTGCAAGTGGTCTCGGTGCCACTACATAGAACAGTGCACCAGAACCAGCAGGCGTATGGGTTACACTAGACTAGATTGGTGAATGATCCAAGCCGGTCAGGCAAATCTTATGCTCCTTTGAGTCTAGAACCCATCAATCTCTGAAGCTAGACACAGCAAGTGGTATTACCAACATCTGTTATGTCTCGTGTATCAAGCACCTGGGAACATTTTCTAACTGTGGTTAAAGGGGTCAAATTTAGCCCTTGTATAAGTTCAAGTAGTCACAGTCACTTACATAGGGCCTGAATTTGACACAAAGTGTCTAAAAAAAGCATGTGCTGATGCATATTTTTACAGCAATTTTTTTAAAAAATGGGAGTATTTTTCAATGGGATGTTCTGGAGCTGGTTAGAAAATGGAAGACTTTTTTTTTTTCAGAAGCATACACTGCTTTCACAGAAATTTTGTGTTGGCAGAAATTTTCCATCCAGTTCTAGTGAAATGTATCTACCATGTTCCCTTCAGATGAGTACACTGAAGGGGTTCATTCTGTTTTTATTTATACTATTGTAAATCCAAAGTGAGTCTTCTGAAGTCAATCTAATTAAACCAATGTGAAACGGATATGGCTTTTTTTAACGTGAAAAATTAACAAAAATCAATTTTTTGTCTTCAAATTTTCTACAATTTTGTGAGGGCTTTTCAACTCCTCCCCCCCCCCCCCCTAAATCTCAAAAGTCAATTTTGTCACTTTTGGCAACCAAAAAATTCAGCTGTTGAAGCACAAAGTTTTGGTTTTATTGAAAATATTTACTGTACTGGATGATTTTTTTCAGCTTTTGGATACCAAAAAGGTGAAAAAAAAGTCAGTGTCAAAATCCGTTTGTCAAAAATGGACATTTCCCACAGATACTTGCATTTTAACCAAAAAGCCATTTTTGTTGAAATCACAACTTGAATGCAAACTGGGTTGAAACTGGAATCAGATGTCTCCACAGCTAGAAGTGGCGTGTGCTTTTTCCTCCCACTTCTCTTTTTTTCTGTTCCCTCCACCCACTCTCTGATTCATGTTTTTACTCATGCTCTGGAGTCTGCCCCACGCTTGGCAGTCTCCTTATTTTTAAAGAGCCCAACCTCTCTCCTTTAAATTTCTCTTCTTCCAAAAGTCATTCGACCCTGATTCTCACCACTGAGCCCTAGGGACTTATTTCAAAATAACCCCCCTTATTACAAAATTCCACACTACCAAGCCTGTTATTTTGAAATAATGGGCTGGTTATTTCAAAATCTGTACTCCTGATTTCCCTGGGGAATAAACTTATTTTGATTTTGGGAGTTAATATTTTGAATTTAGTTATTTTGAAATAATTTCCTAGTGTAGACATGCCCTGACTTCCCTCCCGTCTTTATCTGAATTGTTGGTTTATCTCCATTAGACTGTTTGGGGGGCAAAGACAATTCCTCATCCTGACGGTAAAGCATAGCGTGTCTTGACAGTGCCATAGACACGTTTAATAAAAACAGAAAAACAAGATGTACTTCACTTCCTACTGACTACCCTCCTCACAGCCCTTGCATGTATCTTTCAAATGTTATTCCCTTTGCTTTTACAGTGAGGAGAGAAGTCGGCTGTTGGAGCTTCAGAAAACATAGTGGATTAATTTTGGCTAGCGAATGAGGTGTTCCTGCCTCCCTATATCTCACCCTGATGTCTGGTCCCTTCTTAATTTTCTCTGAAGCACATTATTAGTGAAATCGACTGCACTGAAAACCGAATTCCTCTATCTACGAGCACTCTATCTACAAAGAGGGCAGATAATGCAACGGGTAGTTTTGTGGCTAGACAGGAGGGCTAGGAAAATGGGGTTTTATTCCCATCTCTGCTGTGATCATGGGGAAATCTCTTAGCTTACCCCTCCGCCAGAATGGGGTTAACAATACTTCCAAGAATCACAAAGGAATAGTAACGGTTATGAATATGAATATTTAAACAATAAGCTCTTTGGGTCAGGAACCATGTGCAGTCCTGCAGTTCTGTGGATATCCGCTTTATATCTGCGGATCATGTTTGCAGATGCACATTTATAACTGTACAGGGTTCTAAATATCGGTAGGTGCAGCACCTAGCACAGTGGGGTCCCTAGAGGCTAGCAGAATGCAAATAATCATGCGTTATTTGGAACTCTTGGACAATGGTTGCTACAGAAATGCAAAGTACAAACGTAGCAAAGGCTAAATTCTCTCTGCCCATCCCCTTCAAAATGCGTAGCCACCCAAGAGTCAGTGGTTAAAAGGAGGGGGAATTAGTGCTCCTTTTCCTCACTCTGGGGCAAGCAGCGCTCTCCGCAATTCTCTCAATATCTCCTCAGCTAGGGCATTTCCCATCCCGCTACTTGAATTAACTTTAACCTGTGATAAAACTAAGCTACATAGTACCAACAGGGGGGTGGTTCTGTGGCAGATACTGACCCTTTTAAGAGGAGCCTGGCTGCTAGTCTGTACCATTGTGCCTTTGGAAGGCCATGTGCTACAAGAATCTCCTCGCACACCCTCAGCCTGTGGAGAGAGAAGGGCCGAGGCGAACACGCAGCGGGGACAAGCTCCTACTTGCACTTCAGCTGCAGACTTTGCAGCGTCTCTGAGCAGCCTCCAGCAGTCTCTGGCACCCCAGCCCACATCGCCTCAGAGGAAACCTTACGCTCAGAGCCACTCGAGTGACGAAAACCTTTATTACTTGCAATTAATGTGTGCAAGCACTGACAGAGCAGGCAAAATGAATGGAACACATCCATTGTGATTATTACGCACCCCGCTCTACTGACAGCCCCCTGTCTCTGAAGCCCTGTCTAGTCTCTGCTTTTCAGACCTCTGAGCCCCTCAGCAGACAAGACCTTCCACTCCAGGCTCTTCATCTTCCCAATGCAAGCCATTGTGACGGCTCCCTGACATGACCCTCAGAGTCTGTGGCACCCCACCCTCCCCAGAGAGGAGGAGACCTTGCCCTCACACCCCACCCCAGTCTGCTGGCGAGGATCCAGGCATCACAGCCCACATCCGGTCCTGACAGGAGATTTCTCGCAGAGCTGTCTGCCTGTCAGTGCAATCAGAGGGGAATGGAGGCAGAGGCTCACTCATTCCATTGTGAAGCCTCTGGAGACTAGCTACTTCCGAGCCTGTCATTCAGGCGAGGACCCTAGATACCACAGGGCAGCAAATCCCTTACTACCTTGGCCTGCTCTTTAATAAACATCCCTCCTTCTAGTCTTTCTGCCCGTCTTACTCTCTCCATCCATTCATTACACTCATCTTCCCTTCCTGTCCTCTGCCCTTCTTTCTCCTTTCACTCCACACACTTTCTCTCTTATCGGGTCATCACTCTCCCTGCTTCTGCTTCACTCCTAATCCCTTTCCACCCAGCTCTTTTTTCTTCCAGAAACTCAAGGGTCTGAATTATCTGGCAGAGAGATCTAAAATCGAATAGCAAACCCGTCTCTTCTCCCTCTCCTTTCTCCATCCTGCATTACTTTGTCTCTCACTCCCTTCCCTTCTCTCTTTTTTGTTGCCTACTCTCTCCCTTTCTCTACCTTCCTCTCCTCCATCTGCCCCCTCCCTTTCCCCATTTCTCTCTCCCCCACCTCCCTCCCATTTGCACTATAACACATCTGTTTCTAATCTGAGCGGTCTGAAGCGTCTACTGGAAACAATAAGCTCTTTTTATTTTTTAACCTGAAATTAACATTCCTGGATAAAACAAAGTAAAGTTAAATAAATTTGACACCATCTCTGGAACAAAGACGCTTTCTTCACCATTTGTTTGGTCAAGAACAGTTAAACACCTACACAGTACACTGCTTAAACCGACTACAGCTTTTAAAAGCAAAAATAACTCACACTGTAATGGTTGAGTTTGATTATACATACAAAAAGAAAACCCAAAACCCAGCAATAATTAAAATAACAACAAAAACTCCCAACAACAAAACTAAACTGCTCGGTTTCTGAACTCAACAGACTTTGCTACAAGTTTGTTTTTTTGCAAGAGCTTCTTTGCTGGTCCCTGTGGTGTTTTCTGTTGCCCAGAGAAGGCATATGTAAGTTTCATTTACCATAAAAAAAATCCTCACTCACCTAGAAAGAGGGTGGAAAGTGCAGACATTCCGTCTCCAGGAGAGAGAGAGACTTTTCTTCCCTTTTTCTTCCTTACTTCCAGGAATGGCAGTCAGACCTGCACAGAATTCAAAGGAACGCCTCTGGAATGCACTGAGTGTAATTGCATCCATGTGCCAGAAAAATAACCAACTTTGCTCTTTCTTGCTTTCTGCTATTCATCCCCTTTCCAGTTTCCATCCAGATTTGATAGCAGATTTTGGATCTCTCTGCCTGCTAGTTCAGGCCCTTGAGTTTCTGGAAGAGAAGAGACAGAGGCAGTGCAGCAGGGAGACACATTTATGGCTGCATGGAACAATTTTGCATGTCTGAAAGGAAAAGGAGAGAAGAGGAGAAAAAATATACTGTGCACAATGTTAACCACATGGCTGCCTCCCAGGACAGCCCCTCCCTACCATCAACTGGGATTAGCATTGAAGGCCAGTCATGTGGGTGAGATGTACTTCTGGCAATAATGCAGCAATACCTTTTGAGGGGAAATAACCAGACTTCTCTGGTGTCAAAATAGTTAAGTTTGGAGTCAGGCAAGATTCAGCCTGGAAAAATTAGGCACTTGTCACTCAAGGGCCAGAGACGTCGAGTTCCATGGAAAAAAATACACACACTAGATAATATACACACACTGATCAAAATCCACATACATATACAAGTATCATTGTCATCTGCAGCAGAAAAACTGTACAATTCACATTTACATCCCCAGTCAGGGGCATTCCCAAGGTGATGTGTTATTTTGTTTTGAAAGCATAGTGTTAATTTCCTAAGGAGGGGAAAGAAAAAACAACCCCAAGCAAAACAACTGAAGGGAAATTGATTGATTTTGTGAGTTCCCTCCTTGCTTTGATTGTCACAGAGAGCAAATAGAAGGGGCTCTTAGGGCCCAATCCTGCAGATGGAAATGCAGGGGCTTGCTTGGAGCTCTGCTGATTTAGCTCATCATCTAATAAACCATCTTGTTAGTCTTTAAAGTGCTACATAGTCCTGTATTCTGATTTAAACAGGGCACCATGTAGGATGTAAGACCCTGCCTGTGTGAATCTCTTTGCAGGATCCGGCTCTTAGCTGTCAGGGAGAGGGACAGAAAAGCAACTGGATATTGTAGTGATGAAAGCCAGCGAATGTATGCATCGAGGTCTTATAAAGTCAGTCATCACTCTTGACAGTTGAGCATCTAGAATGGATAAACAGATGGTTTTCTCTCCTCGTCCTGATACCTAGATTTAAATTACTGGTAGAGGGGTCACAGCACTTTCAGCCGAAGCCCAGCTTAGCGGATGCCACAGCCAGTTTTCCATTCATGTAGCATGAGTACACCTCAGCAGCAGCGGGAAGCAGCCAGCGAAGGAGAATTTCATACTATACACCCAGTCCTTATCCTCCACACGAACATTCACTCTCCGCTGATCTGACTGAGCGAGAGCACAGCTATCGGTTGAAATCAGTTAGGGAATCCCTACGCACAATAAAGCTTGGCTTGTGCCATGCATATAACCTGCCCTACAATGATCTCATTGCATGACAAGTGTGCTCAGCCCTGCACAGGAAGCAACTAGCATACAACAGGATTGGGCTAAATTACTTAAAAGTAGGAGATATGCTAGGAAACAAAAAGCTGGACTTGTGCATCTCCCCCTTTCTGATCGTAAAAGCCGAAAGATTTTCACCAAACAGGCTGTTTTTCAGTCTTTTCCGTTATCTCACGTGACAATGGAAGCCATTTCTTTTTTTGCTCCATTGCAAGCTTCCAGGCTGACCTTGGATAAGTCCTTTAGTCTGTCTGTGCCCCAGTCCCCTATTAGTAATAGCATTTCCCAATCCAACAAAGGTGCTATGACTATACAGACATTAATATTATGAAGTCCTCAGACACATCACTAAT